CTTTGTCGCGACGCACCTCGGGTCGCGCGAGTACGTCTGGCAAAAGGCGAAGAAGAACTACTACGACAATGGGCATCCGCATCTTCTGGCTCGACGAGGCCGAGCCCGAGTACAAGATTTACGACTTTTGACAACTACCGCTACCACGCGGGGCCCAACACGGCCGTCGGGAACCTGTACCCGCTCGAGTACGCGCGCGCCTTCTACGAGGGCATGCGCGCCGAGGGCCAGGAGAACATTGTCAACCTGCTGCGCTGCGCGTGGGCCGGCAGCCAAAAGTACGGCGCCCTCGTCTGGAGCGGCGACATTGGCTCCTCGTGGATCAGTCTCCGCAACCAGGTCGCCGCCGGCTTGCACATGGGCGTCGCCGGCCTGCCGTGGTGGACGACGGACATTGGTGGCTTCCACGGCGGCGACCCCACGGACCCCAAGTTCCGCGAGCTCTTTGTGCGGTGGTTCCAGTGGGGCGCCTTCTGTCCCGTCATGCGCCTCCACGGCTTCCGGGAGCCGATGCAGCCGCAGCACGGCACGACGGGGGGCGCCGCGTGCCTCAGCGGCGCGCCGAACGAGGTCTGGTCCTACGGCGAGGACGTGTATGCGATTTGCAAAAAGTACATGTTCCTGCGGGAGACGTTGAGGGAGTACACGCGGGGGCTGATGAAGCAGGCGCACGAGAAGGGCACGCCGGTCATGCGCATGCTCTTCTACGAGTTCCCCGAGGATCAGGAGTGCTGGAGAATCGGGCAGCAGTACATGTACGGCGACAAGTATCTGTGCTGCCCGGTCCTGCAGGAGGGGGCGAGACGGACGAAAGTCTACCTACCAAAGCTGGCGAGCGGCGAGTGGACGTCTTTGCAGGAGGGCAAAGAGGAACGTTTTGCCGGCGGTCAATGGATCGAAGTTGATGCCCCGTTGGAGTGGATGCCTGTGTTTGTCAGGGAATGAGGGCGTTACGGTTGTCGAGGATGTAAACTTGACTGTTCATGCCGTAGGAGTCAGTAGATGCTTTCTTCTATGCGGCATCAAGAGAAAGCTTCAAGAGACGTGGTTTGATGCTTTCTTCGAAGTGTTCCTGAGAAAAAAAAAAACTTCCAGACACGTCAGTGGTACACAAAGCTACGGGCTACGGGGACGTGATCTACATTCAATGTCGCGAAGGCTGGGGCGGCCAATACGTTGTCGGTGCTCCGACAACGGAAGCATAGAAAGTTTCAACACCGCACCACGACTGCTGTTACAATGTTCCTGTTCTGGCAACTTTTCTGCTCAACATAGTGTGACATCACCCTAGTGAAATGGAAACATATGGGTATCGGCTCGTGCGAGAACCAGTCATTTTGGCAGTGCGCACATACCTGCCTTTCTCTCCTGACAAGCTCAAAATACAAAAGAGGTGCGAAGTCGTGGTGGTGCAGTGGTTCCCATCGAGTATTCGCACGCATAATTTACTACTCATAACTTACCCACAGCCTCTCTTATCTCGCATCTGCTGAAGAATGTGTACAGACGCAGGCCCAGGCTGATTGTGACAGTCGATCCCATCACCCCGGCAAGCCACTACAACCCTTCTTCAGCTGAACCACTTCAGCCATGCTTTCCAGCCCCAGCGATTGCTCGCATCCTTGGCGTGAGATTGGAACGCTGGAAAAGAATGATACGTATGCGAAACTCTCGAGCTTATCAGGCTGCTGCCATGTCCGGAATCATCGTTCCATCGGTCAACCGGGGACCAGGTCCCGCAAACCTCACATATACCTGGTGGAGACGCATCGGAATAGGGCGAAACCGACCCGCACCCGACAAACAGCTTCCTAGCTCGCAGCGAAAGTGACGTCCGACCTTTCGTTGCGCATCGTCTCGACTGTGTCGTCGACGGCGGGCCTCGAGTCAGAACAGTGGGATCCCACGCTGGCGCCTGCGCCGGGGATAAACATTCCACTCGCCCTGGCACGCCTGGTGCCTCGCTCATGGCTCCGGATGTGATGGGACGCTGCGGGCAGCTTTGGGAGGCACACAGGCATCACATGGCGCTAACAGGACGAGAGGACCATGCGCATGGTGCTCTGGACTTATACGTCAAGAGTCGGACGAGACGTGTGGGGTACAATACCCTTGATCTGGCGCTGGGCCTTTGTGATCGTCGTACACAGACAAATACGACTGCTTTGTTTATTATCCCCGAAAGAATGCGGCTTTGGGGACCCTCTCGAACAGCCTTATTGTGACCGAGCACACAGTCCGTCGTGTCTCTCGACCGATCCGCCGGTGACACCGGCTCCCATGATCCGCAATCGTCGCCCAGTCTGAGCGAGCGAGAGTCAGGGCAGGGCTGGCTTGCCATGCCAGCACTCGAACGACGGCGCTGCACGGGCCCATTTCTGTTCATGCCCGCAGCCAGACTCAAGTCTAGTTGGGAATAAGAGGACGGCCGGGGCGCGGTCTACCAGGTACGGCCCCGGTCCTTTAGTAGACTGGGACGCTTGAGCGTCAGAACCTCACCCCATTCATCGCAGCATGGAGGCCGCCACATGCCTAATGAGTGCAAGTCGGATGAGTCGAGTGGCACCCGGAATCTCGACTGCTATGGAAGCTGCCCCAACAAGCTAGCGAAGCTTGTGGATGGCGCGAACCAGCGGGCCAAGCGCACAAGACCCTGTCGATTCGCCCACTACCGACATGGGCACCAACATCTGTTCCTGATCCTGCTGCGTCTTCGCGGGCGTGCTGACGGACTAAGCGAGTTCGAAGCGTCATGGCGTTCAGGCTGGCGAGCTGTCCTCTCGCCGTCCCCTCACTGTTTGTCGAAGCATAGGGCCATGGTCCCATGCCAGCCTGCGCGCGACGAGGCCGAGGCCCTGTGGCCGATTGTCACGGTCAGCCACGTGGTTGACACGGCGGTCCAAGCGACCGATCATTTTCGGTATCGCGCCATGGTGCGTTGCATTTGTGTTCGCGCGCAAGCCGCCAGCGAAAATACTCATGACGGGAGGAGGATGGATGGATGGAGTTGGGGGGCTTCCCTCGTTGTGACGAACGCGCCCCCGTTTTCTCCTCGTCAGAATCTCCTCTTCAGAGTCTCGGAGAAGAATCGGTCCAACGGCTGCAAGTGCCGTTGCGGTGCCTCTTGTGTCTCGCATTCGTGCTCACATTGCTTTTCTACTCTCTATAGCCCCTGACACTTGTGACAGTTGGGACATCTGGCGTGGGATATGAGTGCATGCAGGGCGAACCTGACACCACATCCAGCCAAACGAAACTCTCCACGATCTCGGCTCTCGGAAAATCTCTGCGCATCCTCCTCTCTATCACCATCACGCGCTAAGATGACACCCCATGTGGAAAAGAAACCAAAAGCCAGGTGAGCGGAGAGGGTCAAGCAGCGCTAGAAGAGGTTCGGTCCTAGTCTTGTGAATCAGGAACGCACCAAGCCTGCCCAAACGCCCCACGGCAATCGGCTTGAACGTCTCTGCGCGCGCCCTGGGCCGGCCCAGCTGGTCGTGTGCTGCTGGGTCTGGCTCATGTAGCACGCACTGATCCCTTCAGCTGGCTCTTGACCCCCCTCCCCGCCCCTCGCCCCCTTGCTAGCCAGCAAAACCAAAAAGCAACCTAGGTTTGCCCGAGGCGTCCCCGGATCACCAAGGTGCGTCCACTGGGATGTGGGCTTGTAATCTGTTCATGTTTCGGTGACTAGCCCTGGCCGCACCGCGCAATGGCCGGTGGAGTGGGTGGGTAGAGAGATGGATGAGTGGATGGTGTTAACTCTCTTTGTTTTTCTTTTCGGCGTTTATGCCTGCACTGTTCCTGCTCAGTAATGGATATCCTGTGCCGATCCAGGGGGGTGCCTTTCCCGACAAACGGATTTTGACGTCCCACGTGGCTGGCTGAGCGGTTGACCTGGGCGGTATATGAGCTGCGGATGGCGCCCACTCGGGGAACAGAGTGAAGGAGGGAACGAGGCTTTCTGGTGTGTCCTTACTTCTTCACCGTTCGTCGTTGCTTCGTCGACGAGCCCCCCATCGCCACCTTCGTCACGTCCCGCGGATCATACAACGCCAAGGATGGAAGTCCCAACCTGGTTGCAATGGTACAAGAAGCCAGAGTACCGAGACATCAAGCAGTACTCGACCGACGTGCGTAATGGACGCCGCAGCATATCCTCTGATGGCAAGGGCAAGTCCAGTATCCCGCCTCACCTGAGCCTGGATAGGGTGCTCGCGAACAAGACTTGTAAGTGATGACGAAACGAAGAGGTTGTCCCGACGCAGCTGGGCTGACTTTGCTACCATAGGCAGTCCCATGTCTCTCTATGACTTTTACATGTACTTGAAGCACATCGAGTACTCGCCTGAGAACCTCGAGTTCTACGTCTGGTTCAAGAACTACGAAGCAAGATGGTCGAAGCACAGCCGGCAACAAGACTACGAACCGGTAGAGAAGGACCTTAGCACCGCTAGCACCTATCAGGCGTCTGAGGGATACTCCTCCGAGACGGAGCTCGGCCTGAAGAGCGAACCTCTGGAGACCGTCGAGCTGGCAGAGCTTTCAGCGGACCTCGAAACTGGTATGGTGCCACCTCCTCTCTCAGATGTGTCGATGCCCAGACTAACACGACATGCAGCCAGCGAGACGACGACTCAGATTCTCGAGGTCGCTCTGCCCAAGACGGCCTGCACGCCGCTGACCAAGCCCAAGCGTACAGCCCGCGACCACCTCCGCGCCCTCACCTCAGCCTGCACCAACGCCTGCGCCTTGCCAACAGACGCGCTCCCGACAATGCCAGGAACACATCCCTTTGACGCAGCGCCGGAGCTCTCTTCCATCATCCAGACGTATCTCCTGCCGTCGTCGCCCAAGGAGCTCAACATTCCACCCGCGCTCCGCGACACGGCCCTCGAGGCACTCAAGACATCTCCCGCCCCGGTCCACCTGGCGCCGATCGCCGGGCACGTCTACGACCTGCTGCGCACGTGCTCGCACCCCAACTTCCTCCGCCTCGGCGTCGCCAACGGCACCCTCGAGACGTCTGCGTCGCGACCTCGCTCGGCATCGCCCTCACCTTCGCCGGCCTCCTCTTCACCCTGCTCCGTGCCTTTGTGCCCTTTACAGGTGCCCACACGCGACTCGTCCTCCTCGGATCCTGGTTCTTCTGGTTCCTCGGCCTGAGCTTCATCCTGTCGGGGCTGCGCGGCAGCTGCTTCTTCCTGCTGCTCTTCTCGCGCCGCCAGCCCCTGCCATGGGAGCGGTTCGATGACAGCGCGTCCATGTCCTCGGTGCGGTCGGGCGTCGCGCGCGTGCTGGGCCGCCTCATGATCTTTGACCGCAACTCCGCGTCGGCGATGTCAACCTGCGCAGGCTGCAGCGGAAGATTGTGCTGCAGAGCTTGGCAGGCGGTGCCATTGGTGGCACGATCGGCGTCTTGGTGTTTGTGTTCCTGCCGGTCTGGAAGGAGACTGTCAAGCTGTAATGGTGCACTTTGCGAGTGATTTGGTAAGACAATATCAAGATGTGACGAGATCCATAGCGTGCAGAATTAAAGTTGCTTTCTTTCCTCTTCATATTCATGATCTGGTGGCTGTGATGAACGTTTCATTTTGCTAATATGGGTATCGCGTCGTGATGCAAGCAGGAAGAGACAAGAAGGCTAAATATATACAAAAGACGCCGTCGCTTTGGACGAAGTGCGCCTGGAAAACACGACATCTGGAGGCGGATAGACCAGGTCCAGCGCTGCTCTCTTTCAGACCATCTCATCGCCGCGAATATTGTGCCCAGGTGCATGGCGGGGCCGGCTCGCCGTCGTGTCTGGAACTTGTAAATTGCGATCCGGACCAACGGCGGTGTTGCCTGTCATCCTGGGAGCATAGGTGGCGCTACTACGGCCGCTAGGAGGCAGCGTCTTCTCGTCGATGGCTTCAGAACTTTTGGCCCATCCTGCTGACCGAGTGAAGACGCCATCGCGAGGTCCGTATCCCTTATCCAGAGTGTAGGCAAAGTCCTCGTTGCGCTGCAGGGGAATGTGGTTGAAGCGCCAGTCCCAGATGGCGGCGTAGTTGCCTCTGTAGGCGGCAACAGCAGCACCTGTGCCAATGATACTGCCGGCAAGAATGTCGTACCAGTGGTGCGCCTGGTCGATCGTGAGCACGCACGCCTTGAGGAAGGCTCCGAGCAGGGGTGCGATGGTTAGGGCCACCTTCCAGAACGCAGGACGGTAGGCGGCCCAGACCTTGAGCTTGGCATTGAAGTAGAGATGCAGGAACACAAAGCCGGCAAAGGCTGTGGCAGCATGACCAGAAGGCCAGCTTGTCATTGCTGTTTTCAAAAGCTTCTTGTCAGGCTGGGTGCAGATTTCGGAGGTGTACATGATCTCGTGAAAGCCGACGCCGTTGAGACCCGTCGAATTATGGGACGACGCGAGGGAGATATCAGGCATGCAGACGGCCAGAAAGTAAGGGCGGAAGCCGCCAATTAGGTGTTTGACAATGACACAAGAAAGCGTCTGGATAATGAGAGCCTGGACCACGCCCATGATGGCGTTGTTGGCGTCCCAGAAACTACGGACGCGAATCTGCGCGAGCAGGATGAAGACGATGGGAATAAAAGCAGAGATGCAGGCCGAGAGACCAGAGGAAATGATCCAGCCGCGCTCTGGGTAAGCAAGACTTGGGAACACAATGTCACCAGAGTCAGTAAAGGTGACAGGGAAGGTTCGTGTTGCTGCTAGCGGTGCACTGTAGATCTGGAGACGGCTGCTGTCAGCGGACGGACCTCGTGCGAAACAAAAGGCGACATACCCCAAGCGTGGCAAAGCCTAGAACGGCCATGGTCAGGAGGTCGAGCCACATGGTGCGTAACCAGCCCAGGAAGAATTGGCCGCAGCTCCGACGCGAGCGAATTGTGTCGCGGGTGAAGGTGGGTTGGATGCCATCACCACGGATCCTGTCGATGATGGACATGATAGTGATAGCTCGCAGGGAGCCAGGAGCACTAAGGGAAGTGAATTTTACTGAACAGCTTAAACTGGACAGCTTAAGATGAGAGAGGTGTATCGGAGAGGATAGGATGAGTATGCGAGGTCAGAGAAGATGCTGGCGTTGATGATGATATAAAAGCGCGGCTGATGTCTGTCTCTGGGCCCTGCAAGCCAAGACGGCAGCTGATGTCATGTTGTCTGCGTCTGCGAGCGCAGGAGCGAGCCGCAGTCAATGTGGAAGATCTGATGGTTGCTTGGCAAGTGAAGGTTTCTCTTGGGTGTGACGATGGTTCGCCTGGCTGGGCCCATGTTGGTTGGCGGAGGATCGCCTGCGAGGGCCGGGGAAATCTGGGCGGTGACATAGGCATGTGCGCTGTGGTCTAGGGTGCAAAACAGGGAAGCCGACAGGAAGGTGCACTGCAATTCAGAGTTGAGGCTACCTGAAGCAGGAGCGATCAGCGAGATGAGCCACTGACGTCAATCCGTAGCAGCGCCGTTGGTCGAGGCCTGTGGCTGGTCGGTAGGTACTTTCTCTAGGCAGGTGGCGTAGCGCCTGTTCCTGCCTGCTTCTGCCTGCACCTGCCTGCTCGCAAGTGCGTTCTCGGTGCCGCCTCCGGTTGGCTGCGAGGGCAATGCGAGGGCAATCCCCAACAGTCAACCTCACAGCTCAACAAGTCAACAAGATGGTCATGTTCGCTGCAAGTCCGCCCCCTTGTACCTCACTCTTTACACCCGGATACATAACCCACAGGGCGTCATTTCATTCAAAGCATGAAGTCTCTTGTTTGCCTCCCATGGACATCCCCAGGGCTGGCAAACACCTGATCTCGTTCCTGCGAAGTCATGAATCACGATAGCTGCAATGGACATCTTGGGCAACAACAACTGGAAAGACCAACCTTTTCAGCAGACTCGCCATCTGCTACACGCATGCTCCGTAATAGTACACCGTATGTCGGCTTGTATAGGCCAGGTTGATCGCCATCCCCACCTGGACCGTCGTTGCTCAATGCGAACAGCCTCACACTCCTCGTGTGTTGCTTCAGCGCTGTCGCAAACCAACAAAACATCGGTTGTCAACTTGGCGCGATTTCTGTGTCGCGCCGCTGGATCGTTTGTCGTCTTGATATGCTACCTTGTCAACGAAGGGCTTGACCTTGTGGTGTATACCCAGTCTAGGCTGCCGACGCAGATTCTGCTACGCTCGACTGGCTTCGCTACCGCACGCCAGACGCCCGAGCACTGACAAGCATCGACATGAGGACGTTGAGCTCATGACTCGTAACGTATACGCCTTTGTAAGCGAGACACGCCAAATCCCGCTTGTTGTTGTTACCTTTCTAGTGCCGTCCCTTCCGACAATGCTACCTGTGGTTGCTCTGAGTGTGACTTACATTTCAGACTTGCACGTATCCCACGAACCTAAGTCTTCGTTTGGGTCGCAGCTCCTGCGAAAGACAGCGTATCTATACGGGCGTCACGGTGGTAGACCGCCATATGCAATTGACAAACCCCTTGAGCCAAAAGCTAAGCACATTGCAGCAACAAGTGCACCAGTATCACTCTGATGGCCCAAAAAGTCTTAGAATATGTACTTCTCCTTTTAATGGCTGAGATCTCTGGTCTCGCCTCGTTGCAGAATCTAAGAGATCAGGAGCTACTCAGCCTACGTCTTACACGAGACTGTCGACATGAAGATGCGCTACATCAACTTTGCTTTTGTTTCTCTGTGGCTCCTGGGATTCCAGTACTGCCGAATTCACAATTACCGTGATCCTACGTCGTACTTTTTCAAGCCCGAACGAGCGTACCGCAGCGAGTATTCCAACACTAGAATCCTCGAAGCCCAACGGTTCATCGAAGAACATGCTGGAGTACCCAGCTTGCGGACCAATCGAATACTCCGCCCAACTGAAGAAGCACCCAGACTATGCATTGGCATACCCAGCTTTGGACAAAGGCCTGGCATGGACGATAGTCTCTTGCACACTCTTGCTTCACTCATCGACCGTCTGACACACGTTGAACGAGATACTATCTACATTGCCGTTCTCATTGTCGACAACCCACCCACAAAACATCCAAGCTTTTACACGCAGCAGCTGACAATGTTTGCTGACGAGATTCTTGGTTACGACGGCCACATCAACCGCACCAAGACTGTCCTCCCTTTTGATGCCGGGAACCTCAACCCGGTCCTAATCCCCGACACCCTTTCGATGAAACGAAAAATAGACTCCGACGTTGCCCTCCTAGTTGACGCATGCCAATCGACTCAGGCGAGTTACTTTGCGCTCGTTGAAGACGACGTGGTAGCCTCAAAGGATTGGTTCGCCAGGACCTTAGAAGCAGTGGCGTTTCTCGAGGAAAAGAGGGATAAGTCACACAGGGACTGGCTCTATCTTCGGTTATTCTACTCAGAGACCTATCTTGGCTGGAATGATGAAGAGTGGATGTGCTATGCGGCCTGGATTGTCAGCGCCTACGTCTTTGTCGTTTCCTGCCTTGCGATTGCTACCCGTTTCTCGGCCCCCGGGCGGCCGACCACCTCCTGGCGATGCTCGAAACATTTCATCAAGATCTACGCTTCAGTATTGAGCCTCTGGCTACCATTGACCATCGCGTTGTACTTTCTGGCCGGAAGACTCACGATGCAGCCGATGTCACCTGGCGTACACCAAATGTCAAACTACGGTTGCTGCACGCAGGCACTCGTATTTCCGAAGCGGCACATGGAAGATTTATCTCATCATCTCCGAGATGCCGAATTTGAGTTGTTTCCAGATCAGATGATCGAGATATTGGCTGACAGGGAGGGCCTTTCCAAGTGGGCGTTGGTGCCGAGCGCCGTGCAACATGTTGGAAGGAAGAGCTCGTCCATCGCGGGTGGAAGGACCAAGCCGACGTGGAATTTCCGATTTGAGAAGCAACAATAAGATGTCTTTGGGTAGGTAGTCCCAGTCGGTTGGACAGAAAACATATCACCAGACGAGCCCCATGGTAGTGCGTTGTAACGTCGCTTCCGTCCCCTCGCAGGCCGCGGCCTGCTACTGATGATGCTTGCTACCGAGACACGAATAGAAAACCCTTTGCTCCATCCAAACTGCGCTTAAATACCGACGCTCCGATCCAGTTCCCGTCATCGCCATACTCTTCTCATCCTTGCCAAACAGCCTCGATGATGACAAAGAATGTCATGGGGTTAGCCTCAACCCTGACAATCTCAAACCTCTCGTCGGCCTTGTGGAAAATCTCCTTCCAGGCCTTGACGGGCCTCTCCTTGGTTGCAAACAGAGCCATCATGCGAATGTCTGTTGACGTTCCCATCTGCTGAATCGACCGCGGCAGTGGCTCGCCCTCCTGCTCGCCCTGCTTGCCGACGTAGTCGATGAAGAGCACACGCGCGCCGCGCTTGAGGCTCGGCCGCAGCGCCTGCAGGATCTGTACCGACTCCTTGTCGGGCCAGTCGTGCAGGATGAGCTTGAACATGTACACGTCGGCCGACAGGGCCTGGGGCTCGAAGAAGGACTGCGCGTGGAAGGTGACGCGCGAGGCGAGCTCTGCCGGCCGGTTGGCCGTGAAGACGGGCTCGACCTCGGGGAGGTCCTGCACCTTGATCTTGAGATTCGGGTAGGCCTTGGCCAGGGCAAAGTCGTCGTGGCCGCCGGAGCCACCGAGCTGGAAGACACGTGGCGTTAGTGCTGTGACAAAAGTCTGGAGGCATGATGCAGGGGACACGACGTACGTCGACGACCGAAATGTCGCCCGCAGCTTTCCAGTCGTAAGCATCGAGGACAACCTGCTCGAGACGGAAGATGTCCTTGAGGTAGTTCATAAAGGTGACGAAATTGCGCGACCGCCACCCCTTCTTCTCGCCCTCGCCGTCATTCTCGATGTAGTCCCAGCTGTTCTTGTAACGCCCGAGCGGGCCGTCGTTGTTGTGCAGCACGCAAAGGCCGTCTTGTCATGTCTTGCGACAGCTTCTGTCTGCCCTTGCAGTGCTGCTCGAGCGCACGG